GTTTGGTTACGATTTGAGTGTAGAGTTGTGAAAGTAGTATGGAGTTTCGAGTTATGTGTTTGGTTATGAGTTTTAAAAATAATTTTTTAATTGAGTTTTGTTTTATGTGTTTGGTTACGATTTGAGTGTAGAGTTGTGAAAGTAGTATGGAGTTTCGAGTTATGTGTTTGGTTATGAGTTTTAAAAATAATTTTTTAATTGAGTTTTGTTTTATGTGTTTGGTTACGATTTGAGTGTAGAGTTGTGAAAGTAGTATGGAGTTTCGAGTTATGTGTTTGGTTATGAGTTTTAAAAATAATTTTTTAATTGAGTTTTGTTTTATGTGTTTGGTTACGATTTGAGTGTAGAGTTGTGAAAGTAGTATGGAGTTTCGAGTTATGTGTTTGGTTATGAGTTTTAAAAATAATTTTTTAATTGAGTTTTGTTTTATGTGTTTACAATTTGAGTGTAGAGTTTTTTTAAATTTAAAATATTAACATTTTAAATTATTTCAAATTTTTGAATATTTAAATTTTTACGATTTAGATTTTTTCAATATTTATTTTAATTTTTTACTTATTAAATTTTTTAGATTATTTAAATTATTTAAATATTTATGTTTTAATTTTTTTGAATATTTATTTTGAAAAAAAATTATTTCCTTTGTAGTATTTTCAATTAAAAAATTGATTAATGTTATTTTTTGTTAATAATAAATTTTTTTAATTGAATTTTAAAAAGAGTTTGGTTTTGAGTATTGATCAAAATTTTCAATAATGTGAAAGTAATATGTTTTGTTATGAGTTATAGCAATTTGAATTAAGTTTTGAAAACTCTTTTCAAAACTCATAACCAAACAAATTTTCTTACTTCACATGTCAAATCAAACTTTCAAAACTCAATTCTACACTCAATTCCACACCCAATTCAACACTTTATTCAAAAACCATGACCAAACAAATTTTCTACACTCAAATCATAATTCTAAAACACACAAACTCAAAATACAACTCATATTCTCAAATCATAGTTACAAAGCTCTACCAAACGGAGCCTTAATTTCTCTTTCTATTGTTTTATACATCTTTTTTATAAAAAAAAATTAAAAAAATTAATTTCCAAAGCAACCGTATGATATGAAAATATGATATGAGTAAAAAAAAGGTTTTTGAATCGGTAGCGTGCCGTCACAAATAGTATATTTGTCGACGGAAAAAGTTTTTGCGGTGGCGCTGCGACGGCAACTCAAGGGACAAAAATGGCCAGGTCGCAAAAGGTTTTGAGTGGGCAAGATGCCGACACAAAAAAGATTCAATTTTTTGAGACGATAAGTTTCTGACGCAGAAAGTGGTTAAATGTTTTAAAAAATCTAACCCATAATTTCCTTATTGAGGCTCCCAAGATTCAAACTGGTTTCATCTGGGTAACTTGAACCCAACATACCACATTTAGCCCACTGCACCACAATATTTCTTCTGATTCTAAATGAGATACATATTATTTATAGTCTATGCACTCAATATTAATATAAAAGTATATGTATAAACAAATATATTTATTAAATATAATCAAGTAAATATATATATCTTGAGTATAAAAAATATTTTTGTTGCCACGACATTAGTTGTCGACACAAAAAGGTCTAATTTTTTGCATCGGGACGGGTTTGCCGACTCAAAAGGTCTATCCTTTGCATCAATAAATTCAACAGACTCAAGTAATGCTATAAAATATTAATTTTTGTGTCAGCCAACGCTAGAGTTTCGTATTTGCACCAGTAACTTCGTGCCGTCACAAAAAAACTAACTTTTGCGACAGCAAAATCGGCCGACTCAAAAAAATCTACTCAAAAGGCCTTTTAATTAGTAGTGGTAATTTTATTGCCCACCTAAAGTTTAGACGGTAACTACACTAATGCCAACTCAAAAAAATGGATTCAAAAGACCTTTTAATTAGTAGTGGTAAGATTATTGCCCACCTTAAGTTTAGACAGGGACTACACTAATCAATGGCTGAGATGTCATGTGTGAGGGATATATTCCATTAGTTAACTTTATGAAAACAAAACAGAATAATTGCAAAGTTTCTTACACCTTAGTATCTTCTCCCTCCTTTTGTTTTTGCTCTTTAGGAAATTATTAAGATGTCTTTGTGATGCTTTCTTTATGCTATGCAATTTCACAACTTCATTATCAATACTCATGTTAGCTTTTCCACACCCAACTTACATACAAATATATATGCACATATATAATACATAAAAATATCAAGTAACTCTCACTTAATCTGTAGAAGGCTATGATAGTAGTGTTGTTGTCCATTATTAGGACCCTTCTTTTTTTGTATTCTATGCTTTTGTTGTGAGGCAATTTGTCCAATATCAAAAAGTAGAGAATAGAAGCTTCGAGGCAATGAAGTGGAGCAGTGTGGCCCAATGACATTGAGATGGAGATTTTTTGGGAAAAATTATTAAACAGTACATATAGTTAAAAATGATTATAAACACATAAAAAGTATTTTTTTTTTTTAATAAAAAACAAAAAACTTAGACCTCAAAAAAATTCTCACATTTTAATAAATATTTATCTCACTTTTTACTAAATAATATATATATATATATATATATATTGGGAAAAAATTATCACTAGTGATAATTTGAAAAAAAATATTAATATTTATAAATTTTATTATTTATTTATAATTATTTTTTAAATTTCACACTAAAATGATTTTTTTTTCTTCTCATCCACCAGCCACTAGGGTCCTGGTGACTAGTCATAATGGCTAGTACTGGTGGGTCAGCATGTACTGTGACTATATTTTATATTTTTTTAATACAAAATGAAAACGGTCACAAACTCAAAATTCCATTTGGGTTTGGAATTATGTCCACTTGCAAAAGATTATTCTCACATATGAATAGATGCATCTGAATACAGTCTAACATCTCCTTTGGTAACTTTTAATTTTAATTAAAAAATTAAAAAATTATTATATTTTTTTTTAATTTTTTTATATATTTTTTTTGTAAAAATTTAAAAATTATTAAAATAATCTGTTCCTAAACGAGGTCGGAAAAAATGATTGTGAGAGCAGACAACTCAGTCCAATGTGAGTGTGAAGTGTCCATGAAGGAAGAAAGAAATTTCTGATATTATTCATAAGTACTCTAATATTATTACCAAATTCTAATTTCAAAATATATTTAAAAAAATAACGTGAGATTCAAATTCATTTTACACTACAACAAAAATCACCTTTGGCGACTAAAAATTTAGTCGCCAAAGGTCCATTTTTAGTCGCCAAAAGTCACTTTTATACCTTCCCCGACTGATTTTTTTTGTCGCCAGTGTTGTAGCGAATAAATGGTCGCCCAAGGTTTTGGCGACTAAAAACGTTTTAGTCGGCAAAAAAGTCAGGTCTTCAGCGACAACTTTTGGTCGCCAATACTCAATTCCACTTTTTGAAATTATCCATTTAGCGACAACTATTTTAGTCGCCAATAGGTCATGAATCGCCGACTAAACTCATTAGTCGCCCAAAACAACACATTTGGCGACGAAACATTTAGTCGCTGAAAGCATTTTTCCAAAAAAAAAAAATTCAGCCTTTGCTACTCCCAGGTTTTGAACCACTAACGTCCCAGCCTCTGTAAACCTTTACCAACACTCTCCCCACTACGCCACAAGAACATCACATGAATATAAATGCAACATATATTATTTATATAATATATTGACCGATATTAATAGAAAACAATATATATAAATAATTATTTTTATTTAATATATTTTACGAAAAAAATAAAGTATTTACTAAAAAAAATAGGGGAGCACTTTTGGCGACTAAATATGAATTTTAGTCACCAATTTTATGCTTTTTGGCTACTAAATGCTGTTTTGTCACTAAATACATTAATTTCCGCCCAAAAAAACAACTTTCGGCGACTAAACTGATTTTTAGTCGCCAAAAGCTCCACTTTTGCCGACTAAACTCAGTTTTAGTGGCCATTTGTCCACTTTTAGCTACTAAATTTTTCTTAGTAGCCAAAAACCTTTACTTTTGGCTACAAAAAATTTGTTTGTCGGTAAAACACCTATATTCGGCGACTAAAGCATTTTTTAGTCGCCAAAACCTATAGTTTTGGCTACTAAATGCTTTTAGTCGCCAAAAACTGTGCCTTTTAGCTACTAAAATTTTTTCAGTCGCTAAAACTCCTATATTCGGCGACTAAACTGACTTTTAGTCGCTAAAAGCCCTATATTCGGCGACTAAAGTGCTTTAGTCGGCAAAAGTGCTCAAGTTTGGCGACTAAACTGATTTTAGTCGCCATTTGTACTACTTTCAGCGACGAAAATACTTATTTTAGTCGCCAATTCTGCATTTTCTTGTAGTGTTAAATTATCACAAATCTAATTTATATATGTTTTTATATTTTTAAATTTTCATAAGAAGTCGGTATACCTATTAGTTTTATTTGAAGCATCCAATAAGACTAATTTCAACACATATCTACATAATTATACACTTGTATAGAATAAGTCTAATAGTTGTGCAGCACCATTTTATGGTATAAGGTTGCAGATTCCACTCTTATGAAGAGAAATTTCTTTGTCGATATTTTTCTTCCTTGTTATGGAAGTTGTACATAATTCATTTCTTTTTAAATTCTGGCTAACGATAGTAGTTGAACTTTGTAAATGTTGGCTTTTTAAGTATATTGTTAGATTTTAATTGTCTAATCTGATGTAATGATTATCATATTTGTAATTACTTTTTATCAATTAATTAAAAAAATATATATGTATAGGATATGCAATTATTTCTTAAAATGTATGCATTATTGAATTGCTAACCATCAATTAATACCCGATTCTTTTATAAGCGAGTCAACTTATGTTGAATTTATTATTACTTGGATACCATGTTAAATTACTAGCTTGGAAATATAATTTTATCTATTATGTATAATGTGTGTGTAAATATAAGAGTGTATGTGCACAACATGGTAATTTTGTTACCGAAATTTGCAAGTTGAGAGATGCGAGTGAGGTGGAGCTGGTAACCCTGAGCCTGTAGATTTTGTTTGGAATCACTCGGAGGATCTGGGGTGCGCACTGTTCGTTACCCCTAAACATGCACTGACTGGATGAAGAATTGCTATAATGCGCAGCTAGAGAACAATTGTACTGTCCTCTACCATTCATCAGCAAAGTCTGAATCAAACGAGGAGAAAGTCACTTTACAGTAAAACAGTCACTCAACCAAAAATAAAATGTCACGTGACAGTACTTTCAAAGATAAAGTAAATTGTATTCACACTGCTTGGTTTTGGTTGGAAGAATTTTTTTTTAGAAATTTTTTTTTTGTATTTTTTTTAATATTTAGACATATTTAACATAAATATACTTAAAAAATATAAATTTTGTAAAAAAACTAGTTAGCTACTAAAAATAAATTTAGTTGGTATTTTATTTACTTTTGGCTACTAATTACATGTTAGTAGTTAAAAATATCATTTTGGGCGACTAAAAATTAAGTTGGTCACTAATTGTACAATCTTTGGATATTATAAATTTATTTTATTGGAATTTATTTCATTTTTAGCTACTAATTGTGTGTTAGTTGTGGAAAATAAACTTTTGGGACACTAAAAAATATTTTGAGGTTTGAAAAAATTACAAATAGCCTTACAATTTTAATATAATTATATTCACTTTTCTTTTAATAAAATTAAAGAGAGATAAATTAATATAAACTATTGGCACAATAATTCAAATAAGTAAGAATATAAATAAATAATAAAAAAAATTGATATCATAATATTTATGTTGCCTAAGTGGTAAGAGTGTTTTAATGAAATCCAAAGCCTTGAATTCAAACTTTCTCTATCTCTATCGGTAACTTTTTATTTTAGGCTAAAAAAAACTGTCATATGGCATGACGTGAAGGTTTAGGCACCAAGTCTAATCGTCACTTCTCTATGTCTATCTATAACTTTTCATTTTAGATTAGAAAAAACTTACACATGGCATGACGTGAACGGTTGAACACCAAGTCTAATCTTCATTTAATAATAGTATAGATAGACGATAGATAGATATAAAGATAGATAGATAGTGTAAAGACATGAGAGTATATATATATATATAAGATAAAATATATATTTTAATATAAAAAGAATAATAATAACAATATTTTTTTCATTAATATGACTAAAAAATTACTAATGAAAAATTACTAAATTTTATGGGAATTAAAATTTTAAAATAGGTCTGATATAATGATGTAACCTTGTGGGACTTATGTATTTTTTTTCAAATTTTAAGAGAAGGCAGTGTAATTTACCAATAAAAAGTAAAGTAGACTATTCTTTAAAAATTTGTTAAAATTTTAGATTATAGGTTAAAAATAAGTCAATAAAATTTCATATTAAACAAAGTTAATCCAGTTGGTATATTCATGATGTTTAGACATTTTATTAATTTTTAAAGTGGTTAAGGATTTTATTTTTTTTATTTTTTTTTGGAGAAATAAATGTGCAAAGTGATTTATTTTTTATTCATCAAAATGAGCTCTTTTTTTTTAGTCAATAAACTAATTTGTTACCCGTTCCCAATTGAAACTAGGATGTTGATTAATAATTAAATAATGTTAAAAATGATAAACTTTCATAAATATATGAATGATAATTGTCTGTTGTCAAAATATAAAACAGAAGATATATTTTGGAAAATTAGTTAAAAATTGATTTTTTGACTTTTTAAAAATATATATATATATATATAACAATTACTATAATAATTAGGGATGTTTTGAGAAGATGGTTAAAAATCAATTTTTAACTTTTAATCAAATTTCTAAGTTTACAAAATTGTCATTGCTCATCGAAGTGATCAAAAAGATTATTAGAAAAAAAAAACACGAAAAACAAATTCAAAAGGCTTCTAAGACAAGACAATAACAAAATGATAACCACTTCTTAAAAAAGATGGTTACCAATGTTGATATATTTGTAAAAAAATATATGTACTGTACTAAAATTTTAAATCCTTTTTTGACATTACAGGTTCTTAATCAACGTTAAGTGAGTGAATGACTGGTAGACAATATATTAAATTAGATTTAGATATTCTTTATTACATTTTAATATATAAAATTGTAACATATTATTAAAATTTAAAATCAATTATTCTTTAATTATTATGACAATTTAAATTTCAAAATCTCTTTGATTTTTTTTTTAAAAATTTAAAACTAAACTATGTCGGTGTAAATTTTTTCATAATTATTAATATGAAATGACATTTCATTTTATCGATGTAATAGAAAGGATGCATATCCATTGATTTGGTCGGCTAGAATTTGACTGTCCAATTAAAGTTTACTTTTTCTTTGTGATATATATTTGTGGTTTATTTATGTTGAATCTCCAAAGATTATGCTTATGTGCTTTGATGTACATGATTGGATAATATTATAGTACACATTCTTAAAATATGTAATTTATAATATTTATAGATTTAATTATTTAAATGTCATAACTCAATTTTATACTATTATAAAGTGAACAGAAACTTTGGTATCCTGAAACTTTACTCTCTTCATGTCATGTGGCAGTATTTTTTAGGAACTTTGGTATCCTGAAACTTTACTCGGGCAAGGCTTGAACCCATGACCATGGGTTTAAGTACGAGAACTCATACCACTTAAACTAAGTACACATTATAATATTAATTTCATTATTATTATTTTTTATTCCTACTTATTTAAATTGCACACGCATCGTGTGTGCCACCCACTAGTATATATATATATATATATATATGTGTGTGTGTATAAGATTTTTGTTTTTGAAAAATTTTAAGAAATTAGTTTAGTATTTTCATATGATTCTCATTTTTTCGGATCAAAAAAATATGATTCTCATTTTTTGGCATGAAAATAAATTTTTTTAATGTTTGTTTTGGTCGAACTATAACTCTTGTAAGTTTTTGAAAAATATTTACAAATAAATTATGAAAATTCAACCAAACAAATTTTTTTTTGGCAGTGTGATCAAATCAAATTAGTTGAATATAATGCACGTTGAAAATGATGTTTCAAAAAGAACATGGCTACAAATATTGGAATTTGGAAAGTATTGCTAAAAATATTGAAATAATTTAATTTTTTATAGGTGAAAAGTCAATCATAGAGAAGTAAAAAATAAAAATAAAAAATCTGAGGAGTTAATCCTTATAACAAAATAAATCTTAAATTTTTTATTTTATCAATTTAGATCTTAAATTTTTTATTTGTTTTCAATTTAAACTATTTGTCTATTTTGGTTAGATAAAATCGATAAAAAAAAATAGATATTAGTCATTAAGCTCAATGAAAATTATATTTTATATCTACATTAAGTTTAATAATCAAGTTACTTTTTTTCGTCGATTTTACTTAACAAAAATAAGCAAATAATTTATATTAAAAATAAATTAAAATATTAGAATTTAAATTGATAAAATTAAAAAATTTAAACTTTATTTTATTAAAAAGCTCAAACTCTAAGATTGTTTTGTAATTATCCTAAAAATTAATCAATTAAATTATCAAAATAGAATTCACGAGGAACTGATGGCCTGAACTAAACAGTGTAGCCATCTTAGAGAATTGAAGATGAGACAAGCCAATGGTTGCATATAAGTTTTTAAAATTATTTAATTAATTAAAAATGCATTAACTAATAAATTAGTTAATGTTACCTGGGGTTCACCAATCCAACGAAATGGCTTGGAAGAGAGGCCGAGCTCTTGTTCATGAACGCTTTCGTGCCACCAATCACTCAATAGTATGTTAAACTCTCCATCGTAATGGAATGGCTCTTTCTCTCCCTTTGCCACGTCAACTATCAATGACCCATATAACCCTGCTGCTCTTTGCATCCCATAGTGTCCATGGTAAAAATATGTTCCCGCCTACATACGAACACATATTATCCCCATTCAATTAAAATCTCCAAAATCATGTATGTTTTTTTAGTACTAATAATATTTATATATATATATATAAACTCGGGTTAAAGTTTAATTTTAAAACTTTTGGACCGATAGTCTATAATCTCCAATATTCCTATATATTTGTTCATATGTCATTTATTTATTCATTTTCAATGTCAATCACCGACAACTTTTTCTAATTTTAAGAATAAAGAGAGAAGATGCAAATAAAGGCCTAGTTTGGGAAGACTAAATAAGTGTACTTTTTTATTTTTTTGTATTATGTGTAAAAAAAATAGAGAGGAGATGTTGATTGATGTGACCCAAAAAAAATAAAAAAATGAAATAAGTACACTTTTTTCTTTGTAGCCAAACTTGACCAAAATATATATATACATATAAAGTTAAAATTGTTATAAATATCATTTTTGCCAAATAAGTACAAAAAAAAAAAAAAAAAAAAAAAAACCTTCTCTTTTTGACCTCAAAAGAAAATTTGACATTGTTCTAATGTCCCATTAGCTTCCCTCTTTGAATTTATCACCCAAAAAAATTTTTATATAAAATTTCTATATCAACAAAACATTATTAAAATAATACTTATTTAGGAATATGAGATTGTCACATTATTTATATATACATATGTATATATATTTTGTAAAATATATATATACTCACTAATACTTTTACTAATTTAGCATTACTTTTCTTTTTTAAGATAGAAGTCATCTCAATCACTCTTTTCTTGTGTGTTTGGTTACTAATTTAGCATTACTTTTCTTTTTTAAGATAGAAGTCATCTGAATCACTCTTTTCTTGTGTGTTTGGTTAAGATGTCAAAAAAGTTGATTTCTTGTTGACTTTCACGAAAGATAAAGTCAAGAAAAATGGAAAAGATGAGAAATCATGCGCAATAAAACATCATATAAAGTTAAGGGTGTAACTTAACTTTAAAATTATACATTGAATCCTTACAATTATAAAATTACATCACCTTTTACCTCACCAGAAAAGGTAAATTTGTGAAGTTTATATATATATATAAAATTATAGTCCTAAATATATGATTTTAGATAGGGAGATAAAGGAATATTAAATAATGCAATTAAACCGATAAAAATTAATTTTAAAACTCATTTTCTCACAAAACTTTGAAATTCACATTCATCAAAAATGGAAAAAACAATAAAAGTGATATGCATAATCATTTGTATCTTGGAGTACATTATTTGTATTCAGGGACAGATCCAGGATTCAGACATAGAGGGATAAACATATATATTAATAAGGACTACAATCAGTGGCGGAGCTAGAAAATTAAATTAGAGAGGGGCACTTATTAATTATAATAACTTTTATAAAAATATTTCACCCAAGTTTTTACGGTTGATTTCAAGAAACATCAAAAAAAAAAAATTAGTGTGTTTAGTTTTAGTTTTCTAAATTCAGTTTTTTGAAAACTGAATTTTTTTATTTTTCGTATTTTTTTATTTTTAGTGAATATTTTTTTGAATTTTAAGTAATTTTTTTACTTTTTTATATACACCTTACTTAGATGTATCTAAATAGTAAAATATTTGTAAAAAAATATTTTAAAAAATTAATAAATACACAAAAATACAAAAAATATACTAAATTTTTGTTTTTTTTTTTGTATTTTTTGGTATTTAATGTATTTTTTAAATTTTTTTCCCACAAGTATTATACTTTTTAAGTGTATTTATATTAAGTGTCTTTAAAAATAAAAAAAATTGCTTAAAATATTAAAAAAATTCATTCAAAACATTAAAATACAAAAAATAAAAAACTAAATTTTCGGAAAACTGTTTTCTGAAAACTGGAAACAAACAAGCTGAATGTTATTTGTAACTAGTGTATCATGGACAATAAAAAAAAAATATAGATATAAGTCTTAAAATAAATTATACAATGATAGATTATTTTTTGATACAAAATTTGATTAAAAATTCAATATAATGGTAATACCACGTCATCATTGGTATGTGATATCACCCACTAATGATAAATAAATGCGTAAAGAGTGAACCTCACATGTCAAATGTAACTAACAATCTAATAAATTTCATATCTTTATAGTGAGATTGCTTATACTTGCATGTTACTAACAATGACATCACAGTTATATTCAAAAAATTTCATAAATAATAACGTTTATAGTATTCTCTTCATTTCCAATCAAAACAACTATTATTGTTCTCATAATTTTTAAAATGTCATTGACATTTCACTCTAATAATATTTTTATTTAAAATATTTTCTTTATGTTTGCAAAATAAAAATAAAAATAAAAATAAAAAAATTTCAAAATCCAGGAGGGCACGTGACGCCCTTACTAATTTAGCATTACTTTTCTTTTTTAAGATAGAAGTCATCTGAATCACTCTTTTCTTGTGTGTTTGGTTACTAATTTAGCATTACTTTTCTTTTTTAAGATAGAAGTCATCTGAATCACTCTTTTCTTGTGTGTTTGGTTACTAATTTAGCATTACTTTTCTTTTTTAAGATAGAAGTCATCTGAATCACTCTTTTCTTGTGTGTTTGGTTACTAATTTAGCATTACTTTTCTTTTTTAAGATAGAAGTCATCTCAATCACTCTTTTCTTGTGTGTTTGGTTAAGATGTCAAAAAAGTTGATTTCTTGTTGACTTTCACGAAAGATAAAGTCAAGAAAAATGGAAAAGATGAGAAATCATGCGCAATAAAACATCATATAAAGTTAAGGGTGTAACTTAACTTTAAAATTATACATTGAATCCTTACAATTATAAAATTACATCACCTTTTACCTCACCAGAAAAGGTAAATTTGTGAAGTTTATATATATATATATATAATTATAGTCCTAAATATATGATTTTAGATAGGGAGATAAAGAAATATTAAACAATGCAATTAAACCGATAAAAATTAATTTTAAAACTCATTTTCTCACAAAACATTGAAATTCACATTCATCAAAAATGGAAAAAACAATAAACGTGATATGCATAATCATTTGTATCTTGGAGTACATTATTTGTATTGAGGGACAGATCCATGATTCAGACATAGAGGGATAAACATATATATTAATAACGACTAGAATTAGTGGCGGAGCTAGAAAATTAAATTAAAGGGGGCATTTATTAATTACAATAATTTTTACAAAAATATTTCACCTAAGTTTTTACGATTGATTTCAAGAAACATCAAAAAAAAAAATTAGTGTGTTTGGTTTTAGTTTTCTAAATTCAGTTTTTTGAAAATTGAATTTTTTTATATTTCGTATTTTTTTGTTTTTAGTGAATATTTTTTTGAATTTTAAGTAATTTTTTTACTTTTTTATATACACCTTACTTAGATGTATCTAAATAGTAAAATATTTGTAAAAAAATATTTTAAATAATTAATAAATACACGAAAATACAAAAAATAAACTAAATTTTTGTTTTTTTGTTTTTTTGTATTTTTTGGTATTTAATGTGTTTTTTAAATATTTTTTTCACAAATATTATACTTTTTAAGTGTATTTATATTATGTGTGTTTAAAAATTAAAAAAATTGCTTAAAATATTAAAAAAATTCATTCAAAACATTAAAATACAAAAAATAAAAAAGTAAATTTTCGGAAAAACTATTTTCTGAAAACTGGAAACAAACAAGCTGAATGTTATTTGTAACTAGTGTATCAAGGACAATACAAAAAAAATATGGATATAAGCCTTAAAATAAATTATATAATGATAAATTATTTTTTGATACAAAATTTGATTAAAAATTCAATATAATGGTAATACCACATCATCATTAGTATGTGATATCACCCACTAATGGTAAATAAACTCGTAAAGAGTGAACCTCACATGTCAAATGTAACTAACAATCTAATAAATTCCATATCTTTATAGTGAGATTACTTATATTTGCATATCTCTAATAATGGCATCGCCTTTACATTCAAAAATTTTATAGCTAATATGGTTTATTTATAATAGTCTCTTCATTTTCAATCAAAACAATCATTATTGTTTTCATAATTTTTAAAATGTCATTGACATTTCACTCTAATAATATTTTTGTAATTTTTTATTTAAAATATTTTCTTTATGTTTGTAAAAAAAAAATTTCCAAAATTCAAGGGGGGCACGTGACCCCCTTGGTCACATGCTCCCTTCGCCACTGACTACAATAATAATTTATACAAATATAAAAAGTGAAAAAATAACACAAAAATATATATGACTAAGTATGTTTTCTTGTATCCATGTTAAGTTATGAAAATAACAACCGTAAAATAATCTATTCACTAAACTGAGATATCTTGAGTTGTGCTCGACAATCTTTTTGTTATCATGACATCTATGATAAAATCAAATTAAAATCCCAAACTATGTCTTTCTCAACAAATTTTATCAAGTCAATTGGTATGAGAAAAAAAAATTTCCCTGTTAAATTGTCCAAAACTTTTAATTTCATATTTCAACACTCATGTTCCATAGATAGAGTGGAGTGGCCACTTAAATTTTTCCAAACTTTAGAGGGGTGACTACTTAAAAGTTTTTAAATAAAAAAAAATTAAAAAAAAAAACATAATAGGGCGAGTCCATACAATTTGGAGATAATTATTAACTAATACTATTATATAGTAAAGAAGATTTTTGATATCCTAAGGGGCCATTGCCCCCTCATGCCCCCTGGTCCATCCTCGTATGTATTAAAAAAAACATATATGTGTGTACGTAGCAAAAAGTAAAAATTGTATAGGACCTACTCTCTACTCATTAGGTTTCAAAAATAAGAAAAAAGAAAATTAGAGAAAGAAAAAAGCAAAAGTTAGCCATGACATTTCATTTTTCTCCAAAATAAGTACTAGGGTGTATATATCTGTCCTACCTAGAAAATTTGTTAATGTGCTTAGCAATAATACAAAATTGTATGTAGTACCTAGTTATCAGGTTTCAAAAATGGGAAAAAAAAAAAAAAAAAAAAAAAAGTTAACCATGACGCTTCATTTTCTCCAAAATCAGTAGTTGGGCCCAAAATGCAGCTTATAAAAAGCAGCTTTTGTTTACTTTTATTTTATTTTATTTTATATTTTTTTATCGATTAATTTAGCTTGTCAGCCAAACGCTTCACTTCACCCCAAAAAAATCGAAAAGAAGATGCCCAAGGATTCTAAAGAAACTACAACCAAACGGCTAAGTTGGATGTTTTGGGGTTGCAGTTTTGCTTGGAGTAAGCACATATTCCATCCCACAATGTGTCATATCGTGTTTGTGTCGTGTTACTGTTGGATACGATGTGCTATCTTTTTAAAAGTTTTTATACTTTTTACAGAGGTGTTAGAGACCTTGAGCACCACCAGCACGCCACACTTTTTGTGAGAGAGAGGGAGGAGAGAGAGGAAAAAAATAAATAAATGGGTGATTACAAATCAATTAATTGTGAGTTGTGGGATCATAAATTGTGGAGATCTTAAGTATTATTCTACTTTTTATAACAATAATGTTTGAGACTATTAAAAGTGGTGTTTTAAAAATATCACTAGTAATGTGATAATGGACGAGGCTCACTGTTTGTATCTTTTTTTTTTTTTTAAATACTTGCCAATTTATTATTGATGCTTTATAACACCACTTTTAATAGGATGCATCATTACCTTTTATAATGTATGTTGTGCAAGTTAAAACATACACCATTACAAAATATGTGTTTATATATACTAAAAGGGTATACACATTATCATAGAGAGTGCAATTAAAACGGAGTCACAGGTGAGTGTAGCGAAAGACCGTGTTCTGCGTAGTGGGCAACATTTTTTTGATTTACACAATACCTATCTAGTAAATGTAATATATGAAGAAAAAAAAAAATATTCAGTCTGTTTGGTTTGAGTTTTTTGGATTAAATTTTTTAAAAATTGAGTTTTTTGGTTTTCGTATTCTTTTGTTTTTAGTGAATATTTTTTAAATTTTAAATATTTTTTTTTTTACTTTTTTAGATATACCTTAGTTAGATATATCTAAAAAATAAAAATTTTGTGAAAAAATATTTTAAAAATTTAATAAATACATAAAAATACAAAAAATGTACTAAATTCTTGTATTTTTTTATTTTTTTGGTATTTAGTGAATTTTTAAAAGATTTTATTTACATTTTTTTTATTTTTTAGGTGTATTTGTGTTAGGTGTATCTAAAAAGTAAAAAAATTACTTAAAATATTAAAAAAAATTCAGTAAAAAAAAACACAAAAAATAAAAAAATAGAATTTTTTGAAAAGCGTTTTCTGAAAAATGAAAACAAGCAATGATTTTTTTTAGAAATAAAAAATGCATGACAGTTTTAAATAAGTGAGTTTTTTTTTTCCTTTTTTTTTTTAAACGGCTAAAATAAAATTTATTGATGAATAAAATAGTACAATCAATACAACAATAGTGTTACTCTAATTTAAAAGTTAGACTTATTTTTCAAACTCAATATATAATGTGGAAGTTTATTAAAATATTTAAAGCAACTCTATCTCTTATATCTTTTTTAATCATCAGTCAACCACCTTTTTTATATATCATTAAATCTAAAAATTGAACTTTTATATTTTTTTCAACAGTAAAACTCATCAATGAAAAAAAGACTTAGGCTTCGTTTGGGAAATGAGTTGGCTTTTTGACTTTTTGATTTTTTTGACTATTTTAGTCTGGGCTAAAAAGCTTAGTTTGGAAAGGACTTTTTGATTTTTTGATTTTTTTAATTTTTTTTTTGTGAGAGAAGAGTGTAATGATTATGGATTAAATGTGATATTTTATTTGTTGTGACTAAAATAACTTATTTTATCTTTTGTTACTAAAATAACCAAAAAAACTCTCAAACCATCTTCCGAAACGGTGCCTAAGGATAACCAACAAGGTTAGCACTAAGCAAAACCAAGCCCAAATAAAATCAAGTAGCCAAGGACGATGGCTCCAAAAAGGAGCAAATCACCAACCTCAAGCACGGACAACATCAACTACTAAAATAGGAGAAATATTAGGGATAAAAAAAACTTTTACTAAAATTTTTACTTAATACTAACATGAGTATGGAATCCATACCACCCACACTCATATAAATATTTAATAGAATTTTTAAAGTTTAACATTTTTGATGAAATAGATGATAAACGAAGAAAATTTTAAACTAGCCAAGAAATTTTTTAAACCAACTCCAATCATACGTAATTTTCTCTTATATGCATAATTTTTTTTTACCACACGGAAAGATATTAGTAAGTACTATATATAGTTAGATTATCACAATAAGTTGACACTACTTTATTAATTCAAATTGGAAGTCACCCCTCACGTTATTAATTAAGTGTCCCTCGTGATCATTTAAAAGTTAAAGATGAGATCCTCACTTCAAAGATATATGTATTCATATGGGAAAATTATTTAGTACTCTTGTAACATTACTAGGTGATATTTCAAAATACTAATTATTGGCCTGAACTATAAGACTCCTCACTTTTGTATTAAGAGTTATAAGAGATAATTGATGGTATCTAACATGCAAATGAAAAAGGGCAATACTCCAAAAATATTAAATAATTTCCCATTAATATGAGAGTGAGAGAGAGAAGAGAGAGTTTAGTTACCCTCTCAACTTTGAATCTATAGACAAAGGTTTCTCCTGGGTTAATAACACATTGTGAAATGGATGCAGTTCCATCAGCCCATGGTGTTCCTTGCTGCAAAAACACACACACAAACATTACCAATTAAGAAGAAAGAACAAACGACTCCATAACAATGTGAATGAAATCAAAATTACAACATACAAAAAGATAGATACAGAGAGTGTCTTAGTATCATTTGTACATCAATTTTCATCAATAAAATTTCTTTTTTACCGAAGAGAGAGAGAGAGAGAGAGAGAGAGCAACCTGTCTGATACCATGCCAGTGAATGACAACTCCTTCAGTAGTAAGCTTGTTTTTAAGTTCAACATTAACAATGTCTCCCGCTCGAGCGCGGATAGTTGGCCCCGGAAACTGCCCATTGATCCCCAACACCACACCCTCGACACAGTCGGGAGACCAGTACATGTACTCAACTTCCCATTTGAAATGCCTGGTTTTGGATCCCAGAGACGACTCGACCAAAACCGACAAACAACAACAAATCAGAAGGGCAACCCTACAAGCCCTTGAACATGGGTCAGCAGAAGAGGAAGGTACTAAGATTCTGTTAAAAAATGAACCACCCATTGTTTAGATTTTCAGAAGATGGTCTCTCTTCTCTCCTCCAATAAGAAGATGAAAGAAGCTATAGTGTGTGAAAAGACATGACTGGGTGGAATGTAAAGATGCCACTGTTTTGCATCACCACTAAATCCAGTTTATATAGAAAATCTAGCAGGCTCCCTGTTTTTCTTTTTCTTTTTTTTTTTCCCTTCTTTTTTTTTTTGTTTTTTTGTTTTTTTGTTTTTTTTATATAAAGTAATGTTATTCATAATCTCATTTTTTGTCTAATTTTTTCACTACTAACAGTAAGATCTATATTCATAAATGTATATGAAATTCACTGACTCATATCTTCTAATGAGAAAAATGAGATAAAAATGTGATTATATGTAACTTTTTTTTTAATCTTTTCTCTCTGTCCTTTTTTGTGTATATTCTGTGTTGTGGGTGGCGTAACTATTATGTATGGGAGAAAAGTTAGAGATCATGAAAAAATTTTCATGAAAATGATCATGAAAGAGTTATGATCCTTGGATTACCTTGATTAGTGTGTGGTACTTTATTTTAAGTGTAATCCAAGAGTCACAAAACTTTCATGATTATTTTCATGAAAGATTTTTCATGATACCTAACATTGCTGTTATGTATGGTGCCTAATGTATCTATTCGGTAAAAGAAATTGGATTTGGTTCCTCTCTATTCCGGCATGAGATTGGAGAATGTTATTCAATATAGTGGTGGGCCTTGATTCAAATCCATCTCGATCATTCAAATCATTCAATGGACATTTCATCTTATCCCATCAAAAAATCATTTCGATTTGATATCGATAGACATTTAATCATATCACATTAGTAAGTATAAGTTTTAAAATAAATTTATGACAGAAATGTGATCTGATCAAATGACTATCGATATCTGATCAATATGATTTTTTACAGGAATAATATACTCGACGGAGTTCTACATGTTGAACAATATGGATCGTCGAGATTGGCCCAGATCAGGGCCTACCACTACTGAATAGCACCTTACTAGAGTGGAGCCAGATCAAAAGAAATTAGTGTTAAATTCATTCGTGAATTGGTCCTGGTATACTTTAATTCTCTATGGTTCAAATATAACCAAAAAATCTCCCTATAATTTTGGACTAGAAGTATCACAATTAGTTTTTCTATCTAAACTAATAGATAGTGTTTCATACACCATTTTTTAGAGTAGGTTTAGTTTTTTGAAAAAAAATAAGTGAAATTAATACAATAAAAAGAAAATTTTATCCAAATTTTCTCCAATCCTAAAATTATAATTAAAATAAAATACAATAAAATAAAGGGTTAATCTAAAATGTAAAATATAATTAAGGGTTTATTTAAAATATAATTAAATAAAAATATAAAATAAATAATAATTAATAATTGATCTAAAATATAATTAAATTAAAATTAGATTAAAAAGTTAAGAATTACAATAAATAATTAAATTCTGAAATTTTGAAAGTGTATTCTGTGTTTTGTTTTCCATTCTCTTTCACTTGCAAGCACTCTTAGGCATGACTAGATAGTAAGGAGGGAGAGAAGAGGGTATACAAACTTGCTAAGATACGGGAGAGGAAAATAAGAGATTTTAATCAAGTAAAGTGCATCAAGAGTGAGGATTCTAAGGTATTGGTGAAGGATGATGAGATTAAGGAAAGATGGAAGAATTATTTTGAGAAACTATTAAATGAGGAACATGAAGGTACGACAATAAGGGAATAAATAGCCAGTAATACGATAAACCAAAATTATAGGTTCTATCGCAGGATTAGGAACTTTGAAGTGGAAATTGCACTTAAGAAGATGAAATCAAATAAGGCTTTAGGACCCGATGATATCCCTATTGAAGCTTGGAAGTGTTTGGATAAAAAGGAGTTGGTTGGTTGACTAGGTTGTTTAGCAAAATTTTGTTGACTAGGAACATACCAAATGAGTGGAGGAAAAGTATTTTAGTTTCAATCTATAAGAATAAAGGTGATGTCCAGAATTGTAACAACTATAGAGGAATCAAGCTAATGTGTCATATAATGAAAGTGTGGGAGAGGGTGATGGAACGCCGATTGCGAGATATAACAGAGGTGTTAGAGAATCAATTTGGGTTTATGCCTAGTAGGTCAACAATGGAAGCGATTTATCTTTTGAGGAGAGTAATAGAAAAGTATAAAGAAAAGAAAAGAGACATTCATATGGTGTTTATCGACCTTGAGAAATCATATGACAGAGTGCCCCGGGATATAATATGGTGGGTGTTAGAGAAGAAATGAGTGACCAAAGGTTACATTGACGTGATTAGGGACATGTATGAAGGGGTGGTGACCACTATTAGATCACCAGCTGGAAAGACAAATGAATTTCCTATCATTGTAGGGTTACACCAAGGATCTACCTTAAGTCTTTATCTTTTTGCTTTAGTTATGGACGAGTTGATGATAAATATTCAAGATGACGTGCCATGGTGCATGCTTTTTGCAGACGATATTGTGCTAATGGATGAGACTAGAGAAGGAGTTAACACAAAGTTAGAGATTTGGAGAAAGCTCTTGAATCTAGAGGATTCCGAATAAGCAGAACTAAGAAAGAATACATGGAGTGTAAATTTAGTAACAGTAACAATGAAAGCAGAGGAGAAGTGAAGATTGAGAACCAAGAATTGCCTAAGAGTGAACATTTTCGTTATCTAGGGTCGATTATCACAACAGCGGGAGAGATTGATGCAGATGTGGCCCATAGGATTAAGGCGGGATGGTGTAAGTGGAGAAATGCGTCTGGGGTATTGTGTGATAAACGAATACCCACTGGACTAAAAGGTAAGTTTTATAGAACGGCTATTAGACCAGCTATGTTATATGGGACGGAGTGTTGGGCAACCAAGAAATAACATGTAGATAAGATGAGTGTGGCTGAGATGAGGACGCTAAGGTGGATGTGTAGTAAGACTAGACAAGACAGGATTAGGAATGAGTGTATTCGGGAATGGGTAGGAGTAGCACCGATAGAAGATAAGTTGAGAGAGAATCATTTGAGATGGTTTGGTCATGTTCAACGGAGACTAACAGAGGCAGTAGTGAAGAGATGCGATGCTGTAACGGTAGATGGAAGTGTTAGGGGACAGGGTAGGCCTAGATTAACGTTGACTAGCGTTTTAAATAGAGATATGAATCTACTTAATTTGACTAATGCAATGGCCTTTGATAGGGCCGCCTGGAGAAGAAGGATTCCTGTAGCCGACCCCATTTGATGGGACTTAAGGCTTGGTTTGGTTTGGTTTGGTTCATTCGTGAATTGGTACTGGAATACTTTAATTCTCTATAGTTCAAATATAACCAGAAAATCTCCCTATAGTTTTGGACTAAAAGTATCACAATTAGTTTTTCTATCTAAACTAATAGATAGTGTTTCATACACCATTTTTTAGAGTAGGTTTAGTTTTTTGAAAAAAAATAAGTGAAATTAATGCAATAAAAAGAAAATTTTATCCAAATTTTCTCCAATCCTAAAATTATAATTAAAATAGAATACAATAAAATAAAGGGTTAATCTAAAATGTAAAATATAATTAAGGGTTTATTTAAAATATAATTAAATAAAAATATAAAATAAATAATAATTAATAATTGATCTAAAATATAATTAAATTAAAATTAGATTAAAAAGTCAAGAATTACAATAAATAATTAAATATTTAGAATTAATTCTTATCTAAAATAATAAAAAGCTAATAATTATAATAAATAATTAAGAATTTATAATTAATTGTAATTTTATTAAATTAATGTTAGATATTATAAATTATGTATATGAGAGAGGAGAAAAAGAAAATAACAAAAAATGTATAGGGTTTGAGGGTATTACAATCATTTCACATGTATAGTTAACGGTGTTAACGATTGCACTTTGATTCAAAATCATATGTGACTTGCTGGCCACATTTGAACCATAAACAGGAAAAGTATTCTGATCTCAAACAAGAGGTAAAATAAATTTTATCCAAAAAATTATTGAGAAACTATTCAACATGCACAAAGAGAATGAGACATAGAATATATAGACCTTTTGTCTCAATCAAAAAGTGAATAATTTTTGTCTCACATCCAAGGTCGGCTTAACCTCGATGAGGGCTAAAGTAAAATTTTATTAGAAGAATTTTTATATTTAAACTTAATGTAAAAAATATTTATTAGTTTTATAGTGCAAATTATTATGTAAAATTCATATGTTCCTTCAATTTTCATTATTAAAATTTGGGGGGTTATTTAAAATATTTAGCTATGAAAAAAAATTAAAAGTGTAAAAAGTTATCAAATAAATAGAACTTATAAATTCAAAAGCAAAAACCAAAAAATGTGAAGACTAAACATGTAGAACATATTGTAAATTGGTGGGAGCCGCTTTTAAAATCGTATTTTGTAAAATTACTGTTGGCTTTTTTGACTTTCGAAGGTTATTTTTGTAATTGTGAGCATGCCAGTAAGGATCAATCAGTCCTACAGAATATTAATTGCCAACCAATTATCAAACGATTGTGTTTTAGTTCTTTCAGCCTCAATGAAGAGGACTTCTACTGTGGCTTTGCTTAGGAGAATTAACTGACAATGATCAAATAAAGAACAATTGCAGCATTTCATTAAGTAAAAATAAAAGATTTACAATGATCCAATTCAGCCTCGTAGAGGTTTACAACAACAATCTACTTGAAACTACTCCTACGAACGAAGTGCAGTGCAAGAATTTGAAGTACAGAAATGTAAAGAACAAGAAATGTAAAACTGTAAAGAAAATATAGTAGAATAAAACTGGTTTTATGGATCTGAGTCAGGGACTTTTCTGGGCCTTCTCTGCTATTTATACTTCTCAAAGATAACCATCGAACTGCACTTCTAACCGTCGAACCGCTCCTCTATGATTGCTGATCATGTTGCCTTATAGTTAGGGCTGCAAACGAGCCGAGCCGAGCCGAGCCGAGCTTTAGTATGTTTGGGCTTGTTTATTAAGATTTTAACGAGCTCGAGCTCGAGCTTGAGCTGAATAAAAAATTAATGAACCGAGCTCGAGCCGAGTTGGCTTAGGCTCGACTCAAGCTCGAACCTGTTCACGAGCCTTAAT